GTGATGGGGGCTGTTGTGATGTCACGTGAGCGTGGTGCCTACTGTGCTCACATGGGGCCTCTGGCCGAGGCCACACCCCCACTGCTACTATTTCCAGGGCTAATTTCATCAGCCACCTTTTGCCGACCTCCCATTGAGGTGCTTGGGGACATTGATGAAAACTGAAACAATGTGTCCTCACCTGCTGGCCGGCCGGGACTCTCCTCCCACCTGGAGATGCCCTTCCCTCCTTGACCCGAGGGCCACTGGGCTGTGTTCGGGAGCCACAGGCCGGGGAGGCCTCTCGGGGTTCTGATGGGGTGCCCATGGGTGCCCAGGGCCTCGGTGGGGTGCCCTAGGGTGTCAGCCTGAGAGCTGTCTGAGGGCCACCTTGGAGCCCCCAGCATAGTGTGGCAGGAGGGTGGTGGTGCAGCTGCAGCCTCCGACAGTGCGCCCAGTGGCGCCCAGTGTCACGACAGTGTACACAGTGTGCCCCGTCGCTGTGGCCTCAGCTCCAGGTCAGTCTCAGGTCAGGGTGCAGGTGTGGAGGGCCTCCCCCTGTGGCTCCCGTGTGACAGTGCAGGCCTGGAGCAGGGCGTGCCTGTTCGCCAAAACCCAGTAGCAAGAGAAAAAGGGTGGGGCGGGGCAGCCTGGGGCCAGCCTGGGGCTGTCTGTGGGTGAGTGTTTGGTCCAGCCTTGCCTCCCCTCCCCTCACTCCTCATCTAGCCTCTTGGAGGGGGTCTGCCCACCTGCCCGCCTCGGCCCCCTCCTCCCTCTTCCACCCATCACCTCCAGGAACCCAGCTCCCTTTCCCCAGGGAAAACTGAATGCTCATCTCCCTCCTGTCTTCTCCATCCTGTTCCTTCCTGGCCGGTCTGAGCCCGACCCCACCTCCTCTGGGAACCCTCTCCTCCCTTGGTGGTGGATCTGCTCTTTGCTCACCCTCCTCAGGCCCCCCGCATGGTGGTGTCCCCAAGAGTCAGCCTGCCCACTTCCCAGGAGCCACCCACACAGGGCCTTGGGACGCCCACAGCTCTACTCTGACTCAAACCCCATTCCCATCTCCCTCTGCAGCCAGCTCACCACTGTCTGACCCTGCCCCAGCATGCATCCTCTGAAGGCCCTCCAGAGGCCTTTCCCTTGAGAGGACAAACCTCACACCCTTTATGTGCGTATCTATTTAATAAGCCTGTGGACCTGATACGTCCCGGGAAGTCACTTAAGGAAGAGGCAGAGCTCAGGCCTCAGGCCCAAGCTGGAGAGTTGCAGGACTGTCCAGGCCTTAAGGAGCTTCATGTTGCCGTGGAGTGCTGATCTGCAGGGTGCTGGGCAGGGGGAGGGATCAGAGAGCTGTGCCTCAGTTTCCCTGTCTGTCACGCAGGGATTGGCAATAGTACCTACCTCAGAGGTGGTTTGAGGATCCAGTAAATTAATACTCATAAAGTATTTAGAAGTGTGCTGGGCACAGAGCAGCTGTGGGCAAGCATTAGAGATTTTTTTTTTGTGGGTTTTTTTTTTTTTTTTTCTGGTGAGGAAGATTGGCCCTGAGCTAACATCTGTGCCACTCTTCCTCTACTTTGTGTGTGGGTCACTGCCACAGCATGGCTTGATGAGCAGTGTGTTGGTCCACACCCGGGATCCAAACCTGCAAACCCCGGGCCGCCGAAGTGGAGCACATGAACTTAACCATTATGCCACCAGGCCAGCCCCAGAGATTTGATTTCTTATCATTTCTTTCACTCTGCTTTTGCTACACAGAGGCCGGCCTCTGAGCTTTGGGAAGACATCAGGAGGTGACCTGGGGTCGGAGAACGGAGCCGGGTGGGAAGGTCTGGGGTGCTTTCTGAGGCTGTGTGTGTAGACGGCCTTTCTTTCCCTGGCCACAGGCCATCAGAACAGAGCAGCACTGGCCGCCCCTGGAAATGCAGCTGCGCAGTTTGTTTACTGGAAGTTATGATCTGGAGGGGGCCTCTTGCAACGTGAAAGCGCACTCGCCGCTTAAGAGAAGAGAGGAGGTTTTACCGCCACCGCCGGGGAAGCGAGGTCCCTTAGCGAGCGGTCAGCCCGTCTTACCCAGCACCTCCGAAGTGTGAATGCCGCATTACAATGGCAATTTGTGTCTCTTAAATAGTCAGCTATGAACAGTGGGGCCAAGCGAGGGGAGGCAGCACGCAACGAATGAGGGTGCTTGGAGTCGCAATCCACCTGCAAAGTGAGCCACGTGAAAGCCGAGTGACAGCTGCCGGGGGCGCGCAGAGGCGAAGCCTTGGCTTCTTGCCTCGCTCCAGCCCCTCAGGAATCGGGCGCTCCCGGCCCGCGGCTGCCGTGGCCGAGCCAGTGCCAAAGCGTCCACGGAGCCACCTGTGCTCCTGAACCGTCCTCACCTGTGGGCCATTTGGTGGGGCCTGCTTCTGGCCCCGGAGCCCACCTGCCCTCACCCTGGCCCTGAAGAGCCACGTGGCCCACATGTGGCCTTGTCCAGCCCTGTACCAGACCACGGGCCACCCTGCAACATGGGGGCTTCACAGGACTCCCCAGCTGAGAGCTGAGGCACCACTTCCCAGCCAGCTCCAGCCTGCTCCCTTCCTTCCTCCCACCCTCCTTCCCTCCCTCCTTCCCTCCTTCCTTTCTTCCTGCTACAGGCTGTGCTGCAGAGTCCAGGAGTGGGTGATGTGGGAAGGGCTACACCCTGTGGAGGTGACGGTCCAGCTGGGGAAATTGACGCTGATCACACACACACACACACACACACACACGAGTGGAGGTAAAGCTGGGGAGGGGTCAGTGCTGCCCGGAGCAGCTGCCTGGGGTTCCGCCAGGGGCCGTGGCTTTTGCCCTTCTTGCCCACATGGCCTGTGACCCACATTCAGAAATCTGTGGCTGCTGGGGACTCCTCAGCCACAGTTCTGGGCCTGTGGGCAGCAAGGGGGGCACCCTGGACCCTGCAGTGGGGAAGCCCTTGGGAGGCAGGGGTCACCCCCCCCCCCCAAGCCCTCTGGAGGCAGCGCTGCCTCCTGCTGTCCTCAGATGCCTGCCCCCGCCTCCAGGCAGCCCATCAGCCTCTGTTCCTAAGAAGTAAAAATCAGATGAAACCCTTAGTTCCTGGCCAGGGCCACCAGGATGCACAGACGGAGCGGTCACACACAGGCGGGCAGGAGTGTGTTCTTTTCCTTTTTTCCTGCCTCAGGCTCATCTTTGCCCATCAAAGGCAAGGAGCATAAAGGGCCCAGGGGGTGAGCTCAGACCCTAATTGTGAGTGTGTGAGTGTGCAAGCATTTGGGCGTGCGAGTGTGAGTGCAATGGTGTGAGCGTGAGCGTGTTGCTGGGGGGAGAACTGCTGTGTGGGGAGGGCTCCTGGCAGCGGTTCGGTCTTTGTCAAGTGCTGACAGCCACGTGGCGCTGTACCGTCGGTGCGGGATGCCACTGCACAGAAACGGTGCCAGTGATGGTGTCGGGGGTGGTGCTGTCCTCTCCTGGCCGAGGAGACGGAGGCCCGAGAGATGAGGGGCGTGTCCCCTTCCACAGCTGGGCCTGGACTCCTCGTCCAGTGCTCTCTCTGCATGGGGGGTGGGCTCGTGAGGTGCATGGGCTCGGTCCCCAGCTGAGTGTTCCAGGCCGATAGGCCCTGAGACGCCGTCTAATCTCAGGGATCGGGGGCGCCCGCCTGGGCCCTCAGTGGACAGCACTAGAAGCTTCTCTTCCGGTTCAGCTGAGGAGGGATGCTTGAAGGGAAGTGAGAGAGTGCAGAGCCTTGGGGGCTCAGGGACACAGCCGGCTTCCAGCAGCAGCGCCCCAAGCCATGTAGCCCAGCCGCCTGCGCCTGACCACCCACCTGCCTAGTCTGAAGCCTCACCTGGCGCTCCCGAGCACGGGCCTGGGTCTGCGCCTGCCGGGGGCTGGGCACGGGGCCCTGGCTCCTACCCCGGATGGGCGGTCCTGATGACCTGGGCGCGTCCCCAAATGCAGACGGGCCTTTCAGAAGACATCAGTGATAGAAGGGACAGTCTGTGGACACGCACGGACACCTGGATGAACCTCCAGAGAAGTCAGCTGAGCAAGAAAGGCCAATCCCGACGGTGACACGCATGTGATTCCCTTCAGAGAACATCCTTAAAGTGAGGACCTCGTGGGAACAGTCCGATTAGTGGTTGGCAGAGTTAGAGAGGGGCAGGGATGGGAGTAGAGTGGGCGTGGCTGTAGCCGGGCAGCTCGGGGACCCTTGTGTGGCTGAAATGCTCCGCATCTCATCTGCATCAGTGTCCACATGCTGGACGTGACACTGACTTCAGTTTGGCAAGATGTCACCACTTCAGGGAAGCAGGTGAAAGATCTCTGTGTTATTTCTTTTAGCTGCGTATGAATCTATTATTACCTCAAAACAAAAAGTTTAATTTAAAAAAAAGACAGTAGGGGCCTGCCTGGTGGTGTAGTGGTTAAGTCTGTGACGCTCTGCTTCGGTGGCCTGGGTTCGCAGGTTCAGATCCTGGGAGTGGACCTACACACAGCTCATCAAGCCACACTGTGGTGGCGTCCTGTATACAAAACAGAGGAAGATTGGCATGGATGTTAGCTCAGTGACAATCTTCCTCAGCTCAAAAAAAACCAAAAAGACAGCAGGCAGCGAGGACCAGGACAGATCCCCTGCCTTTGGGGCCGCTAGCCCCTTCCTGGCGCCCATGCCCAGAGGCTTCCCTGGGCCGGCTCTTCATTCTGCTCAGAAACTTGCAGACCAGAGACACACACCTGACTGCTTGGGACGTGCCCCAGCAGACTTCTCTCAGCCAGAGATTGGGGGGCGTCACAGGGAAGATGAGCCCGAGTGTGTGACACCGCCTTGCTTTTCCAGGTTCTCACTGTGCCACCTGCCACCCTGTCTGAAGTGTTCAGTGTCGCCGTCTTCGGTGTGGCAGAACAAGGTGATCACAGAGCATGGCGGCCGTGCTCTTTGGCACATCCGAGTGGTCTGGCAGCTCCGAGGCAACATGCTGGATCTCTTACTTTTGCTCTTTTCTCTCCTCCAGTTGCCCGTGTTCCGTGTCGACCTCAGTTGGACTCTGAGCACGTTTGCAAAGAAGAGCGAGCATCCGATCCTCGGGTAGGAGCGGGGCCGGAGGAGAAGGCGCCTCCTCTGCTGCCTTTGGCTCTGGGGCTGCCGTTCTGCCACCCAGCCTGCCGTGGGTCCCGCGGGGGGCTGCTCTCGTGCGACCCTGCCTGTGTCCTCACCTGTGGGAACGCGGCGTCCACCAAATGCAGACCGCTGGGGAGACTACATGTCTCCTGCTCCGGTCTCCCTCTCTGGACTCAGTGTCCAGGCAGACGACTGCCACGGTGCGGGTGACATTTCGGAGTCTGATGCTTGCCTTTCTGCCTCAGACTTACCTGACACGAGAGGGGCTGGAGCCAGAGGCTTGCCAGGGACCACTCACGGAGGATGCAGAGCACGGAGGATTCCAGGCACACTGTGGGCAAAATGGACGAAAACCCAGCGAAGCAAATTGCGTCCCCCGACTTCTCCCGGTGGCTTACAGCTTAATGTGCTCATTTCTCCCTGCTTATTTTCTCCCATTTATACGTTGCTGGCACTGGGTAATTTTACCCGGTTGCAGTCTCAGAGGAGAGTCGAGATTTGGTTATGAACCATCAGTAGAACAAGAAGTGCTGTCATCTGGGCTGTCTGCTCCCTCTGTGTGAGGTGGAACTCACTCGAGCAAGAACTTCCCTGCACTAACAGGGCCCTTTCGTCCCACAAGAAGCTCTCCCTAACACAGAAAGGCCCCCCCCTGGTTTCCATCTCAGTGTGTGTGTGTGCTGGGAGGGAAGGGGTTGGAGAGGGGGAAGAATGTAGGTTTTAGAGTCAAAAGTCCAGTGCTTGGCACTAGGACTTACCTGCTATTTAAACTTCAGTTTCCCAAACACTCTTTGTCGGGGTGGGGTGGGTCACTTCACATCCCAAAGTGGCCCTGGAGCTCCAACCATCACGACCATATTCCAGGCAGGAATAAGGAGAATGGAGGGGCAAGAGAGTGCTTCTCAGCTGAAGCAGCCCTCTTTTTTTTTTTTTTTTGTGAAGAAGATAGGCCCTGAGCTAACTTCTGTTGCCAATCTTCCTCTTTTTGCTTGAGGAAGATTGTCACTGAGCTGACATCTGTGCCAATCTTCCTCTATTTTATTTGGGATGCCACCACTGTGTGGCTTGACAAGCGGTGCTAGGTCCACGCCTGGAATCCAAACCAGCAAACCCTGGGCCGGCAGAGTAGAGCACGTGAACCGAACCACTATGAGCCCTTACTGAATTGAGAGGGGTTCACACCACAACCCCGTCCTCAGCCTCCCTCGTGGATACCCAGGTGGACACAGCCAGGTCCAGGATCCCTGCAGAGGCCCGAGGACCCTCTGGAACATTCCACACGCTCATAAAGAGAACCCGAAATCCCGGGAGAGGTGGCAGGGTGTGCACTGTGCCCAGGTGTACAGGACAACGCTCCCTGCCGCCAGTTCTGTGCCCCTGACAGACCAAGTCTACCCAGGGGCCTGGAAGCACCTCCAACCTGCCCAGAGAGAGGAACGGGGCTGGTTGGTCCAGGCCTGCGGCCTAGTGGGGGAGGACTGAGTCCCAGCAGGATCAGCTGTTCCCTGGCTGGGGCCCCTTGGGGGCTTTCCACATTCACCTGTGTTTCCAGCAGTGGTTGAGAGACCCCTCGAATGGAAGCGTGGACTTCCCAGCACACTGGTGGGTGATGCAGGAGTGATGGGGCCAGACCAAACCCACCCCCATCCATGTACCCCCATTCCCCTGACCCACCCCGCCCACAGGCGCACTCTTGCCTAAGGCTTCCAGTCTCTCTCCTCAGATGGGCAGCGTGCACAGGCCCCTCTGTGATCCAGGGGCTGAATCCACCTTGGGCCACCCTGTGGGTCTCGCCGTGTGTCTCGCTGTGGCTGCACCAGAGGCTCGCCTGAGGGAGGGTCGCCGAATAAAATGCAGGATGCCCAGCCCAATTGGAACTTCGGATAAACCCAGAGTAAGTTTTTAGTATAAGTATGTCCCTTGCAGTATTTGAGACATACTTGTCCTAAAAGACTCTTTGTGTTTCTCTGAAATTCCAGTAGAAATTCATCCTGAATTTCCGTTTGCTGAGCCTGGAGACCCTACGGGACCAGCTCCTACAAAGGCGGGTGTGCAGGCTCCACATCAGAACCCCGGGTGGGCCTGGGCCTGAGCCTGGGTGTGCGTGAAAAGCTCCTGCAGCAGCCGTGGGCACAGCCGAGCTGAAAACCATGGACTCATCAGCTCCACGTCCAAACTCTTACCTGCGGCCGAGGAGAAAAACCAACCTCAAAATGTAGGTGAACACCTGAAGATGCAGGCCTCCGGGCCGGGCCGGGCCGTTCCTCCGCGCTGGGCTGCCCCATTTGGACTGCCGCAGGCCTCTGTGGGAGCGTGCTCTGCCATTTCTTCAAAAAGCCTACGGTTAACCCACCAGCGTACAGTGAGGGAAGTGCTGGGGGGCATTAATTGCCCACATTTCCCCTCTGGGTACTAACAGGTGCCATAATGTATGAGTTTCATTCATTGATCAATCCTTCTAAAATAATAATCTTCTCATAGATTAAAAAGTTTAAACAAGAAGACCGTTTTCATCTTGCAATTTAAATCGTTTAATCAATTTAAATCAATTCCATTCACTTTGTGACCGAAAAGAAAACTTCGCATTCCGTTCACCTGATGGTTGACGAGGGGCGGGACCCAGGCAGGCGGGGCTGACCGGGCACCAGAAAGTCAGAAATCCTAATAAAACAGATCAACACCATCAACACCTTCCTGGCTCTTTTAAAACCACTCAAGAAAAAGTGATAATCCTTTGGAAAGAAAGACCAAGGAAATAAACCCCGAAAAGTTTCAAAAAGATGATATGAGCAAAAAAAAGAGACATACCTACAGAACAAAGATTATGAGAGAACTTTACCAACAACTTTATACCAATATAGTAAAACATTTGAATGAAAAGACTGATTCCTGAAAAAAACGAAACCAGATTTATCAGAACTGAGACAAGGAGAGGAGAAACTCTGGCAACGCCGATGACCATCACAGAGACTTCCTCATTGTCTCCAGGAAACGGCAATGTTGAAGCAGACCAGCCAGCCACGGGCAACCTTGGACACACTCGGCTGCTTTCGCAGGTGGGTCCTCTCTGACTTGAGGATGCGCAGGGCCGTGCTGACCGTCATGGCCAGAGGCGGGGCTGACCACCATAGGGTGGTGGTTAAACAAACCGTGGTCTCTTCTTACAGCGGAGCATTACACAGCAGTTAGAAACACGAACAGTTCCCGTGTGTCAACGTGGACTCAGGCACGGGGCACAAGGGATGGGACTTCACCCACAATTTAAAGCATGTTTTTTAAAAGAAAAGAACAGACATTAAATCAAGGTGTCGGCAGTGTGGCCCACACGTCCATCTCCCCTCAGTGGCCCTGTGCTGGAAGGAACAGTGATCAACACACTCCGTACACAGTAGGTGCTTAATGTCTCTTTGTTGGATGGCTAAAGGTATCGAATTTGGAGCCGTGAGTAGGGGTCCCTGTGAACACGAGCACGTGGACGTGAGATGGCGTCGAGGTCCATCGCAGGACAGCAGGCTCGATCTGCTCCGCCCCCTCCCCCTCCCAGGGGAAAGGGCACCTGGTGTCCACGTGGACGGACATTTGGGATACAGTGTCCTCGATGCTGCTCCCTCCAGTCGTGCAGACCTGCTGCACAGCTAAGGCCCAGTAAGTGGCTGAAGACGTCCATTTATCTTAAACTTAATGCGGAACAGTAGGATCTTTTCTTCTCAGTTTATTGTCACTTTTTGATCTCTGGCACCCTTTCGCCCGCCCCGCCTCTCTCCCAGGTCTGTGCAGAGAGGGGCTGCTTGGTGATGCCGTCCTGGGGCCCGCGGGCAGCACGGGCCCTCCTGGCCAGTGACCTCCGCACAGCTTCGGCAGAGCTGCTGCCTCTGGGAAGATGGTGAATTTTTTTTTTAAAATTAATTATTAATACACTGGACATTGTAAGAAAGTGGTGTTTCTGCAAGAGATCCTCTCATTGAGACATTTTTGTGAGGGTGTTTGATAAAGGTGAGAGTAGAAAGAACCTGTGGTGGTTTCCTGTGGCCGCCATAACAAATGACCACAAACTGAGTGGCTTACAACAACCCAAATTTGTTACCTTACGGTTCTGGAGGTCGGAAATTACACGCAGAAGCTAAAACTGTAAACCTTCTAGGAGTAAACACAGAACATCTTTTTGACTTGGGGATAGGCAAAGGTTTCTTAGAAAGTTCACAGAAAGCAACACCATAAAAGAAAATGTGATTTATTAGATTTCATCAAAATTTAAAAGTTCTACTCACCAAAATACCTCATTCAGAAATAAATAGGCAGGCCACAGACTGGGAGAAAATATGTGTAAAATATGTATCTGTCAAAGGACTGGGGTGTAATATACAAAGAACCCCACAATTCAACAATAAAAAGACAAACAGTTCAATTGAGAAATGGGCAAACGATTTGAACAGACACTTTACAAAAGAAGACGTACGAGAGGCCAGCAAGCACGTGAAAATTTGTTGAACATTATTAGACATTGAGGAAATAAAAGTGAAAACCATAGTGAGCCACCGCACTCACCAGAATGGCCAAGATTAAAAAGATGGAGTTTAGCAATGATGCTGATGGGAGTGTAAAATGGTACAATGTTTTGGTGAAAGATCTGGTAGTTTCTTTAAAACTAAATATATGACGCCCTATAACCCAGCAATTGCTCTTTTAGGTTTTTATCAAGAGAAATGAAAGGTATGCTCGCCAAAAGACTTGTACAGGCATCTGCTTAGCAGCTCTGCTTACTCAGTTGTGGCTGCTCTAACCAAGCCCCGCAGACCACAGCTTATTAACAACAAGCAGGGATTTCTCTAGGCCCGGAGGCTGGGTGGGAGTGCCAGAGGAGGTGGGTCCTGGTGAGAGCCCTCTGACAGTTGGGGAGTTCTTGTTGAATCCTCACACAGTGGGAAGAGAGCCAACTAGCCCTCAGGCATCTTCTCAGAAGGGCAGGAATCCCATTCTTGAGGGCTCCACCCTCATGACCTCATCGCCTCCCACAGGCCCCGCCTCCACAAAGCATCACATTGGAGGTTAGATTTCAACACATGAATTCAGGGGCGACGCGGACATTCAGTCCACAACGCAGCCTTGTTCGTAATAGCCCCAAATTGGAGAGAGCCCAGGTGTCCATCAATAGGAAAACGGATAAACTGTGGTACATCCATATGATGGAATTCAACTCAGCAATAAAAGGGAATGAATTATTTATACGTGCAGCAGCATCGATGAGTCTGAAAGCCCTTATGCTGAGTGAGAGCAGCCTTGTGCACACGAGCCCCTGCTGTGCCACTCCATTTATATGAAGGTCTGAAAAGACACACACAGAAGACTAATCTAGAACAGAGCAAAGAATCAGAACAACACTGACCCCGGTAGGGTGAGGTGGGGGCAAGGATCGAGTGGGAGGGGCATGAAGGAACCTTCTGGAATAATGATCCCGTTCCGTATCTTAATAAGGACTTGGGTTGCACAGGTATATGGACTTGTCAGAAATCAGCAAATTCCATGCATTTTATTGTAAGTTTTACTTCAAAAGAACCGTAAGAAAATGAGCCTCAGCTCTAGGTAATGATAGGCATGTTGAAGTATTTTGTGAAGAGAAGTGTATTAATATTTGTAACTTCCTTTGAAATGCATAAGAGGAAGATAGATGGATGAATGGAAGGCAGGATGGCTGGATGGCTGGCTAAGTGGTGAAGCAAGTGTGTAAAATGTTACAAGATGGAGACAAGACGGTGGGTGCACACCATGTAGTTCTTTCGACTTCTCTTTTAAAGTTTGAAACTTTTTATGCAAAAACGTTAAAGAAAAAAATGAAACGACAGGCACAGAACGTATTAGAACCATTTTTAGCAGTTCTGTTGCTTGACTGGGAACTAATCCTACGGGAGTAATTTAACTGAGGTAAAACCCTTTAACTGAAGGTTAACATGAGAAACTTCTTTGCAATGTATTGACAATGGCAAAGTCTGAAATAACCCCAGGGCAGTAAAGAAGATGATTGTTTAGTACGTAAAGTTTTTTCAGCACAGCAGAGACGGTTACAACACTGCTCAGAATCCTCATGGCAAAGACTGCGTGGAAAAAGGGGGAAAAAAAATCTTTGTTGTCCTGCAGCCGGGAAAAATCAGAATACAAAATAATTTTCACACAAGTAATTCTAAAATACATGTCGATATGAGCAGATTCTGGGAGATCATACACAGAAATTAAAATAGAGTTGCAATCACATAGCATCATTTTCTTCCTTTAAATGCCGTTCTATCCCTTTTTCA